CAACCAATACCCACCAAAAGAAATTGTAATTCTCATCAGCTAAGTGTTTCCAACATAATAATACTAACTCCATCTCCAAAAGTACGATAAGAAAGTCTAAAACAAGTCACAAGTCTATATCAATAAAATAATACTTATGACACTAATAAAAATGACTATGGAGCGACTCTAAGAGTTCAAAAGAAAAGATGATAACAATAATTAAATTCTTCGCCCACATGAACAAGTGCGGGGCTTACCAGGAAATATCAACTTGTGTACTCTAATTAACGAAATTCTCACTCGCGTCAACTATTGTCTCTGGAAAAAAAATAGCGGGGAGTAAGTTACTAGGTCAGTGAGTAATAACACTTAACCATAACCATTTTTAGTTTGGAACAAGTCAGAAAACATGCAAGGATATTAAACAGAAAATATCATAAGAATGTCCTTTCAGAAATAATAATAATAATAATCAGTCTCATCATGTGTTTTCTGTAGCAGATATCAATTTAACAATTCGGTAATAAATTAGTTAAGCATTGTGTCATATCAATTCTTTATGTTTGGTAGTTTTCAAGAAAGGATCATGTAATTTATATCACTATGTGGACCCCTTCATAAAATGAGTCAAATATAACTATAGGTCCCTACTCGAGGGAAAATTGTAACTATATGCTAGTTCTACCTTCCCACTAGCGAGGGCTATAACTGCAATCTGTAATCTGTGAATACAAGATGCACCAAGTCTGATGAACCCCCCGTTAGCTACGGGATCCTTCAAAGTCTCCTCTCATCTGTATTTGTCTTTGTAATAAGTAAGTCTTGTAGGAAAATATTTTAAAACAATATAGGGCATTTCACATGTAATTTTATTTCAATAACGGTAAATCTTATCTCAAGTAATGGTAATGCATATTCGGTAACAATGAGAATATTCAAAATAATTGTTATCATCTCAAATAACAATAACAGTATTATATCAAGTAAAAGACTTGTCCCACATACAAATTCAAAATCGTTGGTAACATGTTCTTATTAAAATCATGTGTAATCATGCAATTTGTGAAACACAAATTGCGGTAAGGTTACTACTCAGCTCCAGAAGCCAACTAGCCAAAGCTCGACTTTTTATCGATCCAAATGTTCAACTTGTGTGTAAATCTATAAATTAATATAAATCTAGTATTACCACCCATAAATTTCACAATTCATTCATCTAAATAAATATCTATTTGCAAATGCGCTTTTCTATTCTGAAACATTACTTCAAACTTCTTTACTAAGTATATTGGAAACTTGAAGGAAATAGTAGTATTGAGTTTACATCCCCATATCTTCTCAATAGAATTAAAGGAGTATAAGCAGAAAAATTAACTTAGCATCTTGTCTGCTTACTCAAACTTTTAAAATATACAGCTGATCCAATTTTACTAATTCTTTACGTAGCGTATCTCGAATGAGATCTGATTCTAGTTCATGGGTATTCTAATATTCAAGTAAATTGATACTTTTATATCCAAATCTTTATTATTACCTTTTGAATTAATTCATAACAATATGTATAAAATTATGTCATCAGAATAAAAATTATAAGAATACTTTGTTACCTATTTTCCAAAGCTTGATTCCAGCCTCTTTCTTCTTTTCCTCCCTTTTTCTTTCTCTGCGTCAATTTTTTCCCTTCTATAGCTTCTGTTTAGCCGCAGCATAAGTGCTGCACTCCCTTCCCACAACATCCTTTTAACTTTTTTGTTTCCTAATGACCTAACACATTACTGATGGGTTAAGGCTCATTTACGTACTCTTTATTTTTGTTTTATAGTTGTTTTATTTTTATTTTTTCAATTTACATAACTACCCTTATTTTTAATGAGAGGTATTACATCAAGTTGGGTGAGTCCCTTATCGATCATCCTCAACTCGTCAAGGTCCATGTCGGAGTCGAATCCAACGTCCTCCTCAACAACGGCTTTCTCTCTGTTATTAGCTGCAGAGCAGACATGTACTACAACGCTAGAAGACGAGGCCTCTTCCTACCGCGGAAGTGCAAGGCCGTCATTATGCACCTCGCCCTCGACCACGTCCTCCACTGGATGCACTGATGCACTCATGTTCATCTCCTCCAAGTGCAGGACCTCGGGACCAGCCTCGGGGCTCTCTCCAACGTACACTATGGATATCTCTCGAAGAATGAAGTCGCATCCTTCCGAGCCGACGGCTACCGTCCTTTCTCCTCCTACGTCCACGGCTCTCCTCTTACGGGGAATTAAACTATCGTCATCAAGGGAGATGTCATCCTCATCAACCAGCAAAAGGAGTTGACAAGCAGAAGCGACAGATGGAATGGAGACGGGCTCTCGGACTGCGATGGTTAAGGTTGTGACCGGTTCGGAAGGCATAGTAGCCACAACAGGGACAGAAGCTGAAGGCGCAGCAGCCTTCCTCGGAAAAGAGGGCATCGGCGCCCGACGCCTCCGAGAAGATCCCCTATCTGGGAAAAAGACACAACATCGAGTTAGAAGAATGAATCCACAGACAACGGGAAGTTAAATGGCCACGATCAAAGAAAAGGAATTACCTGACGAAGGAAGAGCCGATTTGAATCTCTTGAAAAAACTCTGCCAATCGCGGATTCCTATGATATAGGGGAGGAGTCGCTCGACCCAATCAAATATGTACGACCAAAGGAGGAGTCTAGCTACTGGCTGCAAGAGAGGAAAATGAGAAGTCAAAACTCATAACCACGTAACACACAAAAAAACAAGGCACTTACGAGTGTAGTTCCATGCCTCAGGAAATCCGTTAACATTGGCCACGACGTCCTCGGTTCTGACAAAGAAAAGGTTAAACCAGAATTGATGGTTGTCCTTGTCGTCCATCTTCACCACCAAACATTTGCCTCCATAGTGGTGAAGGTTCAGCATTGTTCCCCTATAGAAGCTAGGGGAAAATAGATGTATTAAGCGTCGCAGCATTAGTTCGACCCCGGCCAGCTCGGCAAACTTAGTCAACATCTTGATAATCTTGTAGACATACGGCGCAAGCTGAGCAGGACAAACGCCGTAGCGGCAAAAAATTCCTCCACCAAAGGAAGGAGAAGGAAAAGATAGCCGATGAGGAAATGGTAGGTGTAAAGAGTGCAATACTCAGGGCGATGAACTTGTACTGCGTCCCCTTTGGCCGGAATCATCTTGACATGATTTGGAAGGCCAAATTTGGCCTTGAGTTCCATCAATTCCTTAGGCGTCATCATCAATTGAAAGACTCCAGGTGCAGCCTCAGGTATTTTACTGAAGTCGGACCTAGAGTCATGGTTGCAGAGGATTATTTCCTCCACCAACGGAAATGCTTCATCCTCAACAATGGTAGAAATGCTCTCCCTATAGGTGGGAAACACCACTACCAATGGAGCAACACGACTCCCTTCGCCTTCGTCAGAAGATACGCTTGACATGATTCAAAGTAGTAAAAGTAACAAACGAGAAAAGATGAAAAATGGTGTAGGTTAATGAAACAGAGAAAGGAGATTTAGAGGAGAAGAGAGCAGGAAAAAAGATTTGTGCTTCGAAATGTTAGAAAAATAAAATTTCAAAACCAGGTCCAAGAATCCCTATTTATAGAAGTCATGGCACCAAAATAAAAAACAATTCATCATAATTGGCACTGGAATCGAAATGACAGATCTAATCAGGGGTCAAACGCGAAATGAAGCACGCATCGGGAATATGCATCGTAATGACGCATGATGTCATGGTGTCATTATAACTCTTGGACAAGGTAACTCCAACGAGTCACCCCGGAAATTTGAAGTATTTGAATTATGCGGCTCACAGAGGGCCACGTCGCCAGTTCACCATAATAACAACGACCCATATAGTCTACTTGATAAGCTCGACCATAAACAACATTATCCGAACATCGAACTCGTCTGCAAGGTAGACCTTAATAAGCAGAGTGACTAACTGTATGAGTCAAAAATTATCTCTAAAATGCTTGAGCCATGATAGTATTGGTAAGGCATTCACATGCCACCATATGTCACCTATGTGACTCTAATAGACCTGCCCAAGGACAAGGTGGTTCAAAAAATAATGAAGGTCGCGGTCGAAGAGTTATCAAAGATCAAGGTCGAGGTGAACATTCTTGGCAGAATTATATCGACTAGTTTCAACATAGGATATTAAATAGAATATTATAATGGATACTATCTACACCTGTACTGTTAAGGTTTTTTAGGAACTTGTTCCCCATAAATAGAAAGAGACACAATGATAGGGGACATGAGATATTCATTTGTAAAAACACACATTGACCTTATAGAGAGAATCTGGTCCTATTACAAGCGTAGAAAAATAATCTGTTTATTAAGATTTGTGTATTGTATTTTCGCCGGATCCAAGAACAACCTAAGTGTTCAAAGGTTTTTCAATTATTCATCATTGCCCTGATCTCCTCCCTTTTCGGGTGACCCATATATTTTATTTATTGAAATGCCATTTACTGCTACTTATTGTACTATTTAGTGACATATTCCATCTTTTTGAATCATTGAATATTGTTATCATTGCTCATATTCATTGCCATCACTATAAAATATACCATTTGTCTTTTCTTGACATCGGTAGCTTTATTTTTCGGATATTATTTTTAACTAAGATTAACCGTTCTTTATATAAATCTAATCGGTTGAAGCAAAATTTATATTTTTAGCCAAACAAACCTTGCAAAAAATTCTCATTTTCAATTTGCCCATGATCCCTTATGTAGTTAATTATCGAAAGCTCATATAAGGCTCATGGCTGAAAATAAAATTGCAGGAATTAGCAGAAAATCAAGTTGCAAATTCAAAAGAAAAAATTGAGATTGTTGCTCTCTAAAATGCACGTATTAAAATAGAATGATAAAAATTTAATAATGAAAAATAGCTTGTTTTCCATCCAAATTCCAACTAGCAAGGAAGCTTTACTTTAAAGAAAATATGGATGCAGTGTTTGCACTTTAATTTGATACTAAGCAACTAATAAAAAATGAAAAAGGATTCTATTTAACCATGAGAAATACATCAAGAATCTAAAATAATCACTGCCACACCACATAAATATAATAGCATGGCCATAAATCTGCAACCTTTCTAATAAGGCTAATATTCTCTTCCATACAACATAAGAACTGTAATTATTAGAAGCAATTTGTATTTTAAAATTTTAGAAAAAAGGAGGGCAAAGCTCCACCCAAAAAAATGATTTTCTTAAATTATTCACTTGCTAATCTCTAATTGCACCATTTCGATAAAGCTAAGCATGGTCTCTAATCCTTTCTCATCTGAAAAAAAAAAAAGATGGTATTTGTTATTGTTGTTAACGACATTGACTACATTAAATGAAGTTAAGCTAATGAATTAGTTAAGAGCCTTACCAAATCTTGGTATAGTGTGGCCCTTAGGATGATGAATCACCACTGGATCAACATATGATTCTAACAGTTCTATCCCATACTTCTTCAGGTAATCTTGCTCACCTACAATATCAATTAATACCCTGTTAATATCATATTCTTCATATACTTTTTTCCACAATCATTTAGAAAAAAAGAAATGTTATAACACGTTANCACACACACAACGCCCCACAAAATATAAAAAATGCAATGCTAATTAAAATTTTCAGCTAATGCGAGCTAAATAAGTCAATTAAAAAGAGATCATAACTGCAATTTATTATGGCAGCCCTCCATTCTTCTACAATCAGTATTACATCTAGTATATAGGGCTAGCTAGGGTTGATATCTCCAACTTTTGACTGACATCGGAACTATAGTATAGTAATACTCAATTCCTTTATACTCCCTGCATTTATTTTTATTTGACATGTATATTAAAAATAGATTTTTATTTTTACTTGTTATTTTACGCATATCAAAATAAGACAAATTCATTTTTCCTGTTATACCCACAGTATTTATTACTCATTTTAAATCATTTTTTGAAATCCAATAAAATACGCATCAATTAATATGGGTATCATAGTAAATTATGCACTTCATTTATTATTTCTTAAAGGGCGTGAAAAGTAAAAACATATCAAGTAAAATTGAATAGAGGGAGTACTAACTACCGAGGCATATTCTCTTGGATCGTCTAACTATTCCTCTAACAATAATATCGACACAAATGTGATGAAATCAAAGACAGAAAATTGACGTGTAATTCACGATCTCATTAAGTTAAAAATTCGAGGCATTAATTAGATGAACCTATTCAGTAGTGTTTCATGGTATATATGCCTTTATAAATACTTAATTTCAATTCGTTCTATAAATTTCTTAACAAATTCGATTTATTCGAGCCGCCCCAGTTGACGAGAATCTATATAGTTGGCTCGTCCTAGTTGAACAAAGAATCAAATATAATGAATACAGGCCACATGTTAAACAAACTTTTTTAATAAGCAAAATAACGTGTCTTTTAATTTGCACACCACGTATTTTTTTTTTTTGAAATAAATAAAAGAAGCATATAAAAATTTGTAGGGACAGAAAATACCTAAGAAGTGAACGGACGGGCATGTAATAGACGATGAATAAGCTTTTTCGGCAACTGATTCATTCTTAAATTGAGCACCTCCAATTATTATCAGATATTTTATTTTGGGCACCTTTGTAAGTGCCACTCCCTGTCAAAATCACATCATGTAATCATCAATAATCATCATAAGTTAATGTTTAATTTAAATACCAGTAATTATAATATTATGATTCAAATTGTGACATATTGATGACTAGTTAATTTTCATTTTACAAACAGAAAGAGCTAAATAAAAGACGGGATTAGCGAGATGGGAAAAAATATCAATGGCTTAGTGTTTACCTTTTCTTGCAACCCTGGCAATGCTCCAGAAAGAATTGCACCCTGAATTGTATCAAAAGCAAAGATACTCAAAATCAGATTGTGCAATTCTTTTATATAGATGCATGTATCATAATTTGAAATATAAAAACAGAAAAAGAAAAAATATTAAAAGAGTTAAACTGTCAAAGTCATCTAGAAGCAAGGAGACACGCAGATAAAAGGAATAGAAAAGAAATCCAACAAAATATTAAGTAGTACTTAGTATATGGTAACTTCTTAAAAGGTCCTTAACCTCAAATGAAAAATTCAACCTTTGACCAAAAATAGTGAATGTTTTGCCTTTTAAAGAAAAAACGTTTCGCTGTAAAAATCATTTTTGTTTTCTCAAAGAAATCCAGAATTAAATTCTTCAAAAATAAATCCAAAAACATTGTGCCAATTTATACTCAAACATTCTAAAATATAAGGGAAAAATATAACACAAAAGCAAACGAGATTCTGGAAAAAAAAAAATTAGAACTAACCTGGGAAAAACCAAGAAGACCGTCGAAAGGTCCATGTTTTATCATGCACTCTTCTATGTATGCAAGACATTTATCAAAATTCTGATATTCCGTAAATTCCTATATAAAAAATCAATCACAATTAAGTAAAAAGGTTTTCATTTTAATTGAAAGAAAACATAGGGATTAATTCTTAAGCCTGCAAATGTAAAAGGCAAGAAAAAAATAAAAAAAGGGAAAAAAAGTAAATGACCTTGTTGAATTGGAACCATTCATAATAAGGAGGATCAAAAATACCCTCAACTTCAGATTTGCCTTGACAAGGAAAAGGTGCATCAACAAAAACAAGATCCAATTTTTCAACCACTTGAGTTGGCCATTTGTCAAAGACTTGTTTCTTAAGAATTTGGCCACTGGTTCGAAACCCATGAAGACAAAGAAATCTGGGTTTCCTCTGATTGGCATCACCTTCACTTCCCATAGTTACAAATGATATTTTTTCTGAAACTAAAAAAACTCTGTTTCCTTAATTTACGAGAAGAGTTCCGCAGGTATTGGACAAATATATATAACACAGCTAAGAAAATGCTGTTTGAGCGTTCAATTTATAAAGGGAAGGACAAAATGCGTCGGGTCAGATATATTGTAGGCGTGGTTTGGGGGTGAACGCGTAGTATGAATTGGCTGGGAGCAAATAACTTTGGATGTTGCGTGGACGGTGATGTCAAAGAAGTGCTTTCGCAAAAGTAGGCGGAGAATCAATAATATTCTCTTTTTTTGGTAATAAATTAACAATATTCTCATTACTGTTGGACTAGGAGAAAATTTACTCAACCTCAATACTTATACTAAGAGCCTGTTTGACAGGTTTTGGGAGGCTAAAAGTACCCTTTTTTTTGTTAAAAATGTAATTTTTGAAAATTTTAAGGTATTTGTAAAATGAAAAAAATATTTTTGAGCAGCAGGTAATTTTTTTTGTTTTTGGGAAGAAGATACAAATTCTAGCTTCTTCTAAAAAGTTGAAGCAGAAGTACAAAATTAATTTATTCAACACAAAAATAATCTTACAATAAATTTATATTTTGTAAATTATTCCTCATTAATTTAACATTTTTCTTTTTATTTATACTATACATTTCTTCTCTTTTTTCTATTAAACATATTTTTATTCTCTTTCTCCTATTTCTAAGAATAAATTTTAAATTTATATTGAATGATGTATTTTGACATATTTAAATCATCATGTAAACAATAAGTAATATCAACACTCAATGTTATTGCTCTGGAATAACTACAGTTTATATTGATTGAAATTTTTAATTTATATTTTTAGTTTACGTTTTGTATTTTAATTGAATTCTTTTACAATAAATATTTATATTTTTTTCTAAATAATGCTAATGACAAATTTAACAGTTACTATCTTTTTTTTGTAATTTGATACTTAAAAGTGCTTTTTAAAAATATTGGCCAAACACAATGAGCTTGCAAAAAGCACTAATCAAACGAATTGGCCAAACACACAAACTGCTATTTTGCAAAAGTACTTTTTCAAAAAAAATACCTTTGAACAAAAATACTTTTCAAAATAAGCTTGGCCAAACGGGCTCTAAACATCTTGACTTTTTATGATTAATAGTCTGTGTGGCCAAGTTTTTCCAAAGTCAAAAGGATTTTGTTTTCCAATAAAAGTGTTTTTATCAATAAAAGCATTCATTTTCCAAAGCTGAAGTGTTTGGTCAAGCTTTTAGAAAAATAAAATGCTTTTGAGAAGAAACAAAAGCAGTTTTGGAGAAGCAGAAAAAAATAGATTCTCCCCAAAAATATTTTTTTTAAAACACGTTTGAGAAAAATACACTTAAAATCACTTTTCAAAAGTTTGGCCAAACATTAATTGTTGATTAGAAGTCTTCTCAAATTAATTAGTCAAACACAAACAGTTTCTCACCAAACGTAATTTTTAAAAAGTGTTTTCGAGAAAAAGCAATTATCAAATAGGCTGATTTTTGAACCTTGGCCAAACAAGCTATAAGTTAGAATATATACTGTTTAGCTAATTATTATGGTTAAGTATAAATTTATGTAAAAATACATGTCATTTACTTATTAGTTTAATGTATGTATTGAGTGTGAGTAATTAATTTTTTTAAGAAAAGGTGGACATGACCCACGCAAACAACTAGATTAAGCAAAAATAGCACGGTATAGCTAGTTTTCGGATTGGTCATTCAAAAATAGCAAGCGTTTACGAAGTCAATAAAAAATAGCCACTATTTTGCTGCAACAGAGACCGGTCCAGCATAATATATTGGAGTTCGGTGCACCTGTGTATGAACTCCAGCATATTATGCTGGACCGGTATACTTTGCTGACTACAGTATAATATACTGGAGACTAGACCACCGGTGCTCCAAACTCCAGTATATTATACTGGACAATTATACTGGCTAGAACTCCAGTATATTATGCTGGGGTTCTAGTGTACTTATGCTGGAACTCCATCATATTATGCTGGAGTTCCAGCATACTTATCCTGGAACTCCAGTATAATATACTGGCGTATTTTCGGGGTTTGAATAGTATTTTCGCTTAGATTTATCTTTACATAAAAAGTGATAAATTTCGATTACTTTTGAAACTGGGTTATTTTTGAACGACCGGTTCTAAATCTGGCTATTTTTTATAAGTATTTTATTTACTTGAATCTCCAACTTATTTTTAATTATTTTTTATTGTCAGTGTAGATACTTTACCGCCAGAGCAAATCGCATGACTTGTCGCACTCCAATTTGCTCTGTTGTACTAATATTTTTTTGTCTCTCTGAACTCTATGCCTTTTCTTTCCTTGTAAAATTTCCATTTTTTAATGTAATACTATAATATTTTTCTTCAATGCCGTTATGGTAAAAATAAAAACTAAAAAACACGGTGAACTGAAAAAAAGTAACAAACTGATGATGGAAAAAAAATGAAGACATTTTATTAATTTTTCTTTTTGTTTTCACGTACTTTAGTATTATTGTTTAATTGTTTAATTTTATTTCATTTTGTGGTATTTCAGTTTTTCTATTTTTAATTAATGTAGCGAAAATATTTTTCTAGAATATAGAGTAATATTAATGTAAAGAAAATATTAAGTGCGTAATAGGAAACGAAAATTAAAAATACTCTCGTCATTCTAATTTATGTGACATATTTTTTTTAGTAGTCCCAAAAAATGATATCTTTTATATTTAGTAACAATTTAACTTTAGAATTCGCTTGTTACATTTAATGAGATGATTTTCAGTCACATAAATTTTCATGATTTATTTTAGGCTACATATTTTAAAAATTCTTTTATTTCTTAAACTTAGTGCACAATCAAACACTTTCTAACAAAATTGGACGGAATGAGCGAAAAGTGATATTTTGACTTTCAACTTTGGTAGTTTGGTACTCCCTCTATTTAAGTTTATGTGAATTTATTTATTTTTGGTCTGTTTAAAAAAGAATGTTCTTTTTCTAAATTTGGTAACAATTTAGCTTAAACTTATAATTTTACCATTAATGAGAAGTTTTTATAACTACACAAATACTCTGGGCCCCTTTGTGCTTTGTTTAGAATCACAAATTCCAAAAGTCTTCATTTTCTCTTAAACCATGTGCCCAGTCAAACAGGTTCACATAAATTGGAATGGATGGAGTATGTATTTATTGTCATTGCTTAGCTGTCACTACGTCACCCAGCTCCACTTTCTGCAGCCCTCGCTACATTCGGCTACATTGATTTTTTTTTTTTTTTTGGGTAAAGTACATTGATTTAATTTCCTGCTTGATACAAATAAATTGTATTCTATTATTATCAATATTAAGTTAGTAGTGTTAACTTTTGCTTGTACGGGGTAATTTTACGTGTCTTCAAAAAAACAGCGCCTCCTTTCAATTTTAATCAATTCCAAGGAATTTGATATTTTTGTTAAATGAAAATTGTCTTCGTCCAGTTGAGGTGAATTACCCCTCCTATAATTTAGTAAATTAATGACCTTCCTTTTACTTTCAGAAATCATATAAAATCCTCTGTCTAATTTAATAGTGCTTTTGATAGAATAGACCTCCACTGGAGTTTCCTAAGATAAAGTATAAAATGTATCCTTTAGTTTAAAATTATATTCGTCGCTGTTATTGGTTATTTTTTCCTCATTTATCCCATAAATGATTTATGTTTAATATAATTCGGCTACTCATAGATGGATCCAGAATTTCGGAAAAAATGGGTGCACTATATCAAAAAGATGGCTTCATAATATAAATTTTAAGGGCTTAACCTTTAGATCATACTATTGCAATTACCATTGCACTTTTGGAATATGGTAAGTTCAAAAATATAAATAGGCAATATTTAAGCAAAATTTTCAAAAAACTAGCAGCAATAAGTATTTTACATTCATAGCAACTAAATAAATATATTCCCTAGCAGAAAATTATCCAATCCATTAAAGTAGGGATGCTAGTTAATAATCGCTAAGAATAAGCAAAAACAAAAGGAACGATGATAACTTTCATCAAAAAATAAAATGTTCTTCCAAATTCCACTAAAATAGGCATATTAATTAATGATACACAAATCATATCAATTACAAATAAATTACCAAACTTTCATAAATTATTATAATTTTTAAGTGATTGCTACTTTTCTTGAATTGTAATATACATTTACTCAATGTGTTCTCTTTAATAATATTTTCATTAATTTTGCATGAAAAATCATGTATAATTAATAATATGTATAATATTGGATAAATCATGTATGTTTACCTTTATTCTGAAAAATATAAAATACACATATTTAGTAAAAAATATATAAGGTATATATATGGCACATATACATTATAAATTATTTATATGTTTGGTATAATAAAAAATCTTAGATGATTATACAATAATAACCATGTATAATTAATAATATCTTAAATTCTTAGAAAGATCAACGCGTCGATGTTGCTATGGTTAAAGTGTGTATATATAATTATATAGATGGTATAATGATGATATTCCATATATTTGTAGTTGTTTATTTCGGTGTGTATATTTGTTCGATATAACAAAGATATGTTAATGATATATACGTGATAAACTTTCATAGCTTGATTGTATAATTTTTCGTCATCACTGTCTCATGTTCTAAAATTTTGAGATTCAAATCAAATCACAAAAAAAATATAAAAAGTTAGATCGAAAGAATTGACAGATTAATGGGTTATTGAAAATCAAAAGAAGGAACTTGAAACTTGGGCTAGCAATAGAAAAACGCAGTGGAGGGATTGGAAATTCGAAGGAGGAGAGTTAATGGTAGAGTGATATGAGATAGAAAGAAAAATAAGATATTAAGAATTTAAACATAATTTCTTGTTTACCGGAAGAGTAAAAGAATAAATGAGTTACTATTAAATACTACATAATATTTTACTCAAATATGCTACATTTATAACAAGATCTACTATTATTAGAATAATCCAAATATTGTAACATTTGTATACGGTTAAAATCGGGTCCACCCAAATTTACTAATTGACTGAGATCAGGGGGATGGATCGAGGATCAACCCCATAGCATATTTGGCCAAGATATGAGGATAAAGCACGGAGTTCGGGATTCGAGGTACCTAGCAAGATCGAAACCAGTAATGATCGAGGTCGAACGGGACAGACATTGAGCAAGACCGAAGATAGCATAAT